ACGCCAGAGCGGCCTGTCCAAGTGCATAAAATATTCCAGGGGCGAAAATTTAATTGTGAAACGTGTCATTGGTGAGTGAAATGCTCCCTTTTCGCCATCCAGAGTTGTGGTGTGACAAAAGAGCTCAGAGAGCGACCGCAAAAAAGAGTTGTGGAACGTGATGAGTGCTGGAGTGAATAAATTCCTTTCCACCCATTCTGTGGCATCCATTTAAAAAGAGATACAAGCACTATACACTGTTTATCGCATTTCACACAGAGTTTGCCCGAGAAAATCGAGCGATAATGGAGCGAGTGTCGAGCTTTTCAGTCTAAATAAAATTACTATCGCCGCGGCGTCGCTGCCAAGAGACATTCCTCAAAATTCGCGGAATCTGATAAAGAGTCACATAAATTGTGATGGTTAAATTGTGGAAAAGCTGCCAGATTAGACGCTATTGAGTTGAATATGCCATTATAATGATGCTTATATACCCAGAATTCAGGCAAATTATATGCTGATTAAATATGATAAAGAAGGCCTGAAAGCTCTTAGAAGCTTTTTTTTGCAATGCCACACATTTGAAGAAAACTCAAGTTCGCGCTACCTATTTTCCACACAAAACATCTCATTAAATGTCCGCTACATTTATTCAGTAATTTTAAGAATTTCACACACAATGCTCGCCTCCACCTTAATCCCTCGAGAACATCGTCGCTCATGTTCATGAATATCCGCTTACGAGAAGCCGGTCTGCCATCAGCTTAAGTGATGCGAATTAATTAGTGATTTGTCTGCAACTTCAATTGGCTTAACCAAGGGGGAGATCATGTGGCCAGAAGTGGTGTACAGACCTGTAGAAAATGCAGGAAGTGGATGTGATTTTCTATTGATTGTTTTAGTCCCGGAAGTTGATTTTACATATTTTTACTCAATTAAATTCCTGATTTTTCTAATCTTGTAAATCAATTCTTATCCAAGTCTTCACTTTGACATATATTTTACAGGTTATGTGAATTATTGAAGGCAATAAAAGAGTTTAGAGTAGAAATTCTTTCACTGAATACAAAGTTATTTTATTTATAAGTAAGAATTGCTCATTTTCACTCATTTAAAATTACGATCCTTAAAGCTCAAAGGGTTCAAAACGAACATAACCTCACAATTTCTCTTCACAACACCAAATTTTGAAATAGAAAGATTCTAATTAGGAGTGAAATTAGAAGCAAACAGAGTTAGGAAACTATCTCGGTTATATTTCGGTAAAATTTTGGTTATATTTCAGTTATAAGTTGATTTGGGAGGTGTCAAGAAGTGGTGTACAGATGTCATGCTTATTAACTTCCTCTTGGGCTCAAGGAGTGAATTTTTACTGATATCCTGATTGCAAAGTCAACTGTTCCACAAACACTCAACTGCAAGGAACAAACTCTGAGAGTGCAGTGAAAATTGTTTAATTGTTTCTTCAATTACACAAGTAGTCGCTTGCAAGTGAAACGTCAAGACATAAAATTTAAATTATAACCATTTTCCACATACAATTTAATGGTGAAGAAGAAATCCGCTACATTTGCTGGGCAACCATAGAATTTGTGTCACTTTGTTGTGGTGTCCATGTGATTTTGCAGCCACTTGTGTATTAAAGGCCATTGAATGGAAGTGTGGAGCAAGTTCAAATTTCATGTTTGCTCATCACAGGGCGCTTCTTTTCTCACTCTGGGCAGTGAAAAGTGGGTGGAGTTCGCCTTGCGGAGGGAAAGTTTGCGACAAACTAAAGATCACCGCAACGGACTTGGAGACAGTGTGGCGCAAAGGGTGGGATTATCAGTGATTTTGTCAACAATCCAGCACACCACAAACTGCATATTAATTTGCTTTTCCACCGATTACACGCTCTCGGATTTTCCTCTTTCTCCGCAATGTGACTTCGTGCTGTGACTATTTGTCTGTGGATCACCAACGGGTGACTGACTTCCTCTTCACCCCCGAGCCGGCGACTTCTTTCCCGAGGACGGCAACAGGGCAAGGGTGGGAATTAGCAACACATCATTTGTGGCCAGTGACAAAAGAGTCCCAAGGACGTGAGTGAAATGCCAAGCGAGTGGCAGAAGAACTGACTGGTGAAAATGTAATTGAGATTGGGGTGATATCGAAAATGGACTTCGAGGGTGAAAAGGGCAGCAGAGATGCTTTTGTTCATGATTCAACCCCCAGAATAGAGTGAAGAGGCAAATATTTAGCAAATGCTTTTGTGGCAAATTTATGGGGAAAATTATACTTAGAAATTCTATTGCTATTTCAAACAACACTTGTTAGAGGTAACAATTTCCACCTTATTATTACCGCCAAAAGCTCTCCTCATCTGCGCTTGTTTTAGGAGTTTTTCACGCATTCTTTATTCATACATCGTTAGAAATTCCTCACAATACTAATTGCAATTCTAATTCAATTTCGGGGAAGCATTATGATTGCGAAGCACTATTAATAATAACTTTGCGCCTCGTTTTTGGCGCAATAGAATGGGAAATTAATTGAAGTGCGGCTACTCAAGACGTTGCCTCAGCAGAACATAAAATGGTGAAGACAGGAGAAAATCAAGCTTCATAATTGGTAAATTGACTGACCAAGGAATTCTTCAGTGCTAAAGTGCTTTTCTCTGAAATTTCATGCAGAGAGGAAACTTTAGGAAGAGTGCATTACGTGGGTTTATGTTACCAAACTCATCTCCAGTGAAGACTGACTGACTTTAGCCAAGTGGAAAAAACTGAAGGTGAAATTGGCGTCTTCACGTTCTGCAAATATTTACACCGAGTAATATTCTAAAGGGGGTGAAAAATGTGATTTTCACACGGGATGAATGCCAAAAATTTTCCACACACAGACTCTGTGGGAAAGAAGAGAAAATCAGCGCCTCGACACAGCAATTAGAGATTGTGAGTCTTTTATACAAAGTGTATGACTTTTCATATACGGGCCAGTCGTCGTTTTCCACAACATGAAATTACGCTTTCCTCCATATCATTCACCCTTCGAATGAAGCACAGAGTCTTTGGCTTTTCTGCACAAGCAGAGATTGCCAAACAATGTGGATTGTAAAGTGGAGTTCCAGATTGAAGTTTCAGTGGATGGAGAAACTTGCTTCACGCTTTGTTTTGGGGTAAAGGCTCCGAACACAGTGTATATTGTCCCCAGCCTTCCATCCTATTCACACAATCCCAGGTCCCATAGTTGGGAAAGCAGAACAAGAGTCTTGTGGATGATTTTATCAATTCGTCTCTTCTTTCTCCCACCCCCAATGTGTGTGTGTGTGTACGAAGAAAATTCAACCCCCAGTGTTACAAGCACTGAAAAGTCTCTAAATTATGTCGAAGAACAAAAGATGAATTAAAACAAGAATTAGTATTTTGTCGGGCAGATGAACAAGAGACGACTGTATGGTGGTAAATGTACAAAAAAGATATGGATGGAGGACGGTTTGGCATGAACAAATAAGAATCACACAGAGAAAATGGGTTCTCAGCAATTGTTCTGCTCCACCCACTGTTCATTTCACCAAAATTCCACCCTTTCTGCACAGCACGAGGCCAAAGACTCGGCAGCATCGCAGTTGTGAATTGGCGAGGCACGAGATTATCAATTATATTGTATCAATGATAAGCATTTTGCAAAATATTCTCGCAGATTGCGCAATATATTCGACGGGTGCATCGAAAACCATGAAAAGTCAAAATTGCAATATTTTAAAATTTAGCGTTCATTTCACTGCGAACTTTGCCGAATTTCAACTCAAACATCTATTGGTTTGATAAAGTGTTAATTATTGCCCTATAATAATTATTTTGTAAATGTTTCGGTTGATTTTATTGGTATTTATTGGAATATTGACTGAAATATGGCAAAGTTAATAGATAAACAGAAAATATTGGTGTTCAAAAGTCGATTTCAAATAGGCTTTCTGTGCATTTTACCCAAAAAAGTGGCAAGAAATCAATTTTTATTACTTATCATTAATTTTTTTTAAGGTTCTTTATTTTCAAAATTTAAAAAATATATGCATTCGATATTTTTCACTATAAAAAATTATTAAAAGTGGATGTAAAGATGCAAAACAAATGAAACTAAAATACACGAAAAATATCCATTTGTATAAATCTTTGAACTAATTTTGCAAATAAATTTTTGTTTAATCTTTACTCACGGACTCTTTAAGATAAATCAGATTTCTGTTTAATGCACTTAATTTATTATTTTTAGACGTTGTGGAAGACATCAAGATATTTACGAACTGAAAGGTTGACTTTTGATGATTTTTAAAGAAATCCATTGAATATGCATTAATTCAGAATAATCAACAAACTGGATAAAGAACAAATGATAAGTCAAGCATTTTTCTAATTAGTAAATCTGTACTTCTCAATTTGCGAGTCCAGCTGCGGAAGGTATTAAAAAGCGTGTCAGTGTGTTGAATGCATGGAAATTGTGATATATTGCAGATTTTCACATTTAGCTCGCTTCGCGTTATCAGATTTGGGTGTCGGAAACATCATCATTCCGCCTCATACATTTCCTCTGCGGCGTCTCATTGGGTGGCAGGTGAGCACGTTGCCTGTCTCTCGCCGCCGAGCCGCGCAAGGACTCCTCCCGGAGCGGCTCCGCGCGAAGAGCGAGCCTCCGCGCGACTGTGGTCCTCTTGGCGGGAACAGTCCTGCCAGCCGTCCATGTGGACCGCCGAGGATCGTCTGCGCAGGAGCGGAGAGTCTCTGAGAGCGACTAGTGGCGATGATGATGACGATGACGCTTGCAGTGCCACCCCTTCTTGGAGCTCCGGCGGCAAGGATGAATGGTCTCTCTCTGGAAGCAACACCGCCAATGCTGCTGGTCTCTCTGTGCACATTTTGGCGCTCAGGAAGGCCAGACGGTGGAACCTAGGAGGAGAAGTGTGTGGAACAGCGGCACAATTGAAACTGAACTGGATGCATTTTGGCCTCTCGGCGTCATCATCAGTTTACGCTGATCCGCAGGAACAAAAGGATGTGCCCGGCCATCCCCGAGTCTTCATTGTGACTTCTTCGCTCTCAACGGTGGACAATTTGCGTGCTGGCGAGTGTTTCGAATGTCTCTTGCGCTCCCTGGAATTGTCTGTGCAGTTTCCGTGGCATAATTAAGGGCTGAAATATTTTCGCTCTCCCACGAAAAAGGAGTGAAGTGTTTTTAATGAGGAATTACAGAGAGAAAAATTAGACGAACGACGACGAGAAGATTTTTCCGTGAAGAGTTTAAATCCCTCAAAAGCCCAGAGAAAAACGCACACTCGAAGGCAACTGAGTGTGAGGGTGGAAAAACAGTACAAGAGAAGTGGAGAAAAAGATTAAAATGACTTCAATGCCTCACAGTGTGCCACAATTTATTCATTGATGCAGAAGGGAAACGCTTAGAAATTCCAACTTTGTCTTGTGCTTCGGCATTCCGTGCAAGGCGGCAAACAACAAATAAACATCATTTAATTAGGAAATAGAATTTCAAGAGTTGGACGCGACAAAAGAACCAATTTAAGTGGATTTTGCAATGAGAATGTGGTTGTCAATTGTTCTCCTGGTCATTTGTGTGCAAAGTAAGTGAAACAGAAATCTTTCTATTTTCAAAACATTCTTGCGGTGAAATTTTCCAAGAGACATAAGAAGAACTTTCACGTCTTTGTCTCCATTTAACAAGAAGAAATGACATTCGAGAGGAAACTCGCAAGTGTTAATGAAATAAGATTTGCAGTTGAGCGTAAAAGATTGCGTTAACGAGCATCGGAACAACAAATTAACACTTGATTGACTGTTTTTTTTGCAATGTTAAACTTTCTTTTCTATAGGAATTTTCCGTGCTTTTGGGTGGTGAAAGAAAAGATTTTCGTTGAAACCTGAGATTTTTCAGTGAATAAATAATTCTGCAAGTTGCTTTTCTTGATTGGATTGGAAGATGTTCGCGAAATCAACTTCTAGACGCGCTCATTTGTTTTTCTCTCCATTGGCGATTTGTTATCAAAGTGCTGAAAGATTTATCATGCCAAGTGTTGCTTTCAATTCCACAGTTTCTCCAGATTATACTTCCCTTGTCTGAGAGTGTGTTCAGTACAGTTTAATGGTCTCTTAGAGTGCAAATAGAGAATTATAAGAATTTACACAAAAGCCCACACCCTTTTCCCTCACTCGCGCGCTCAACTTCTTTCCGTGTCGTTTCCTCCTGAGAAACCAAAATTGCGTTTTTTTTTTCTTCTTCTTCGCCATTCAAGGTGGAGATCCTGCGAGAGCATCTTTTCCACTCTATTCCCTCTTTGGGTGACTTTTCGCCAAGTTAAAACGGCTTTCAAGAATGAATGTACACAAAAGTTTGTGTAATTTAATAAACACGGCGAACTTTTCCGTATGCCATGTGGAAAAGTATTTAAAATGCACGCTCGGGTGGCGTTGGAAGGGACGTCTTGAGGGTGGAATGGATGCTCTCAGCTGGAGACGGGATTTCTTTTGCTGGCAAAACCCGAGAATCACCGTCAACGGCGGGGAAATTGAATGGAATTATTTCCGTTTTTGGCGGGAACTTTATTAAAATGCGAAAAATTGATAGCCAAAACGTGGTGATCGAGAGCGCTGAAGGAACTTGTACAGCTCAATCCATCAAGATTGAATATTGAAGAATAAATAGGTGATTTTTACCCGTCAATTTACTCAAATCCGGTGGCGCAGTTGAAATAAATTGACCGAATAGTGTGCCAAAAAGGCGGAATCTACTCCACAATCTTCCCATAGCGCACAGAGCAAGAGGCGCAAGGACGAAAAAGTGGTGGATTATTGAGAAAAACTAAGACATTTCATTATTTAATCAGTGAAGCATCTGAAGCTCTCTGTAATGATACAGAGAGTATGATAAATGATGGGCAACAGTGATTCTTTCTCGCATGGAAGCTCGAGATGGGCAGAAAAAGAAAAATGATGTCTCTCACATTTGCCGTCCTCTGCAACTGGGAAGATAAACATCCCCTAAAACACCACACTAATAAAACAATCAATTAACTTTTCCCCAAACATCCACCAGATGTTTTAAGCTCATTGCACTGCAAATCTCTTCTTGCAGTCATTATTGAATTTCGCTTTATGAGTTTGCTGGTGGAAAAGCGCGTTTCAAGGGGTTATTAATATTGCTTTTAAATGCCTCAGCATCTTGCGTCTTGACTCAATCGAGAACTCGAGAATTCTGTGCGGAATTTATAGAATATTTTGGTTTAGAAATCATTTATAGAGATGAAAAAAAACGTGACAGAGAATCTTGGAGAGAAGATTTAGAGAAGGACTTTGAAAAGGAATCATATTTTTGGCAGCTGAAAGCGACTAAGAGTAAATACTTCAAGAACAAATTTAAATCTTTGTCTAAATACAGAAATTAGGAGAAGATATCGTGAGAAAAATATATTCTGTGCGTGGAAAAACCAATTGAGGTAAAGTTTAAGAAGAAACTTATTAATATTGAGCGATTAAAGCACACATTAAAAGATAAAGAAGTTTTAAAGATTCTCGTATGCATTTTTCCAGTTTCAAACACATTTTCAACGTAAAATCTTGGGGTAAAACCGTAAATATCCAATTAAAGATAAAGTATTTAAGCATTGGTGTTTTTCAGCTGAAAAATTCGGCTCCCGATCTTTAAAAATTGTGCACAATAATTTTAAAAATAAATTTTGAAGAAATAAGGAGATAAAAAAATCCGATTATATAAAACGAATCAAATGGAAATTACACAAATTAAATCCATCGCGACTCACTGGAAATTAATCAAAGTTTTACAAAAAAGAAACGTGTTTTTGGAATTCATATCTTCATTATTTGTGCATCTCGAAACAAATGAAAATGACATAGCATCCCCAATATTAGCACCCCATTGGCGCGTATCAATGGAAATGTCGAGTAGAGAGTGAAAAAGGGCTGTATTTGCCAAAAAGCCACAAAACACATAATGAAGCTTTGACGCATGTTGCAGAGGAAATTCTGTATTTTTAATTATTTCACAAGGTATTAAAGAACTTCAATCTGGGATGACTGAAAGTTTATTTGAACTTTAAATTTGTGATGTTGCCAAACAAGCTCATCTCTCTACGCTGAATATCGCGCATTAAGTAATTCTGACTATACAATTTCCGTCAGTTATAATCATAGGTGCTGAAAGTATACTGAGATCAAATGAATCCCGTCACAGCCTCGCTCCTCATCCGTTCGGCCCCTCGTCTTACGCCGAGAGTTAGTGAATTCATCATAATTTACTGCTGAAGAGAAGATGTGATTGTTTTAATTGAAATGGCAATTTTCCACTGAATCCTCCTCGACACTATATCCTCATCAGGCGTCCTTGAGGGATGAGGGCGCTCTCGGTGGGAAATCCACACATGTAAGCCAACAAACACATTTATTCTTGGGTAGATTCACGGCACAAACCCACCGTGGAGAGTTTGCGAGTGTGGGGAAAATCCGCCTCGTCCGTTATAGAAAAGGATTTAACTCAAGTGTATAACATTATGACAGATGACTTAGGGAGTCTGTGGCGCAACTTTCTTTCTCCGTGTCTCTCCTTTGTGTGTGGATAAGTTCTCCCCGTGGCCCACTCGTGGGGTGGCTTGTGGGGCCACGGGATCTTGTGGGGTGGCGAAAAAATAAGGAGAAACGGTCCGGAGCTTCCTGGCAGAGAGTGGCAGGGAGTTTATGAGGAACGAGACGAATGCACCCAGCGGGTGATTGGACTATAAATGACATCATGAGCACATGACTCCTCATTCTCTGCCTCAGACGACACGATATCATCCGGCTGTGCCGGCACGAGGACATGAGAGAGAGCACAGAGAGGAGAGTTTAGCCCCAGAGTCGGGAAATAAAAATGAAAAGAGAAATTGCATTGGCCCAGACTGTATCCACCCCAAAAACTCTGTCTCATCGGGTGGGAATCTCCCTCCTGGGATCGAGCCAAATCTTGATGGATGTGATGAAAATGGCCTGGGTAAAATGTGTCACAAACATTTTAAAGCCACCACCCGCTGACACTCACATGCGGCACTCTGTGCACAGAATGTCGAGCTCCTGAAATAGTTTCAAACATACAGAAAGTCAATCAGAAAAATTTGTTTCCCCGCACCGAAGCCTGTGTTGATGGCTTTGATGAAATCCACCAGATATTACTCTATCCCGACAGGGCTTAATTGACAGTCTTTCAGGATATTTTGGATTCAAATAAATATGGTCAGCATAAGAATCATGAGAACCCCTTTTCAACCCTTTCAACATTTTGCATTTTTACTCTCTATTCCACGCATTTGCGAAATCCTCTCGGACACAATTTTCACTCGCGAACTGAAAGCACTAAATGACATTCTCTAACATACAAGAGCGAAATCCACTTCTCACCCCCAAAAATCCGCCTACACAAAATGCACCCAGGATCAGCCCAGAGTGGGACCAGAAAAAAAACCGCCAAGAGTGATTCAAGGGAGAAAAGGTATCTGAAAAGTCCATCAATACGCATTGACACAGAGCTTTTGAATATTCTCGTGGGCAATCACTGGAAATTTCATCAAAAATTTGCCTCGCCCTCAGAGACTTGCCGAGACGCCAATTTGATGTTGCTGAGCAGAAACATTTCAATTCGCAGCGCCATTGGCAAAGTGGGAGATAAACTGGAACCGGAAGTTGGACTCAATGGACGGACAGATGGAAATTGAAGGGAGTGCGTGAAATTTACTCACGGCCATCCCCTGGAGACAGTCCATTTGCGGTGGAAAATGGCAATGCTGAGGGCGTTCCAAGGGGGAGATGGTGTGCCTTAAATCTGTACACCATTTCCTGACACTTCCGCAGAAGCTGTGCAGAATCTGCAACACTTTAGATACTTCTGAACGCTTTTTTCTGGCAGTTTCCATCGCTCTTTACACTCAATTTTGATTTATCACATTGTAATCCAGGTTTTTCGGGGTCAAGGAGTTTAAAGTCTTCAAATTCTTAAATTTCGGATCGTAAAAGCTGACCCTAAAGTCCCAGTTTTAGTTCATGAAAAGTATCTGTCTTGATTTTCTAGTTTTGTCTTCAGGCAATGCTTAGAAAAATGTTGAGTAAAGTGTGAGGTTATGAATGTGGCTTAAGAAATCCGTCTTAGACTAATTTTAATCAATTCATACCTAAAAATTTGTGAAAATAGCGAATAAAACAGTACAAAACCACGAAAATAACTAAGCACAGAAACATTATTCTAGAATAAAATGACATTTTTGCGGTTATGATTGACCCTTAAACGGTTTCTTACCTCTGAAATTTACGCACTGACGTTTTTTTCGAACACAATACTCAATTCTGCCAAGAAAAGAAGAAATATTCCCAGATTAAACACAAATTTGATGATTTTGAGGGTTATTTATTCACACAGAATGAATTTTAAATCAGCCACATAACCTAGAAAAGCAATTAAATTGATTTTTCTCAGCAAAATAAATTAGAAAATGAAATTGAAGTTGAAGTATAAACTTTTGCCAGTGCAAACATTCTAAATATTTTACACTTCTGACCAAAATATCTGCCCCTTGAGGCATACGAA